TCTCAAATTTAAATTCAAATATATTTTATGGAAAGCTTGCACGAAAAAATCTTTTTGCAACTTGCCTGGTAGTAAATTACGCCTTCTTTAAATATTATACTCAATAAAAGAAGAGTATACTCCGGTTTAAAAAAAAGTTTCTAGATTGACAAATAATGTTGACATCTACTGACTGCTACACCTGAATTCAAGGTTTATAGATTTTGCGCTCTGTATATCCTGTTTAGGGAAAAGTGCATTTTAGCCTACGTTTAGGGGAGATGGCAAATAGTCCTTATAAAAAGTTGCAATAGATGTTCATCATGCTGTATACACTATAAGCAGCATTTATAAACTGACGGATACGATGTATTATGAACAAACCGAAGGATACCTTTTCTTTAAGTATAACATTTGAAGAAGGTGCAATTTTCTACCAAACGAGAACGAGATTGGTTTCGTGTATGGTTTCCATAAAATATAGTTCAATTATAAAGGCAGTCAAAATCAATGATAAAAATGCATACTACTTAAGTTACAATTTTTTACAGTACACACTGTTTTTTAGCGCTCAGAAGGAAGCTCGTTAAAAAGCCGGTAGCATATCGTAACTGAAATGACTTGAGAATGGGCTACATGATAATGAGTATTACTCAATGCCAATTAGCTAGTGAGTGCCAATCTTTACCAAATGTCGGCATTTTGCACGAATTCTGAGCCGTACTGTATAAGAGCCCCAACTGGAGTGGAGAACGTTCTTTCTCAGCCATTTGAGTACCAGTAGCATGGTCAGCGCCGTGGGCAACTGCAGAGGTTGGACGTGGGAATGCTGACGTAGAAACGGTACGAACTGCGATGAAGCTAGATGCGGGTGGATGGGGGTCAGCGTTTGTGAGGAGAACCGGAAACCAGCATTTTCACTAACGCACCACTCCCATCCTGGACTCGCGCCAAAGTACCGTTTTTAATGCACTGATACAGTTCGCTCAGCTTCTTAGTGTGCTGAAGTGTTCCTGAATTTCCGCCTAGATTTGACACAAAACGTTACATCACACGAGACAAGCATTTGATCCTGACTTGGTATGACCCGTACGAACAACAACACCAATCCGTATGTAGCTCCAAGGTCGCGAAGAACGCTTAAATCGATAGGTATATATTGAGAAAATTAATCCTGACTACGTCTAAGGGAATATATTTTCCACAACTGGCGCAATCAGCCCATTTAGCCGAACTTTTAGATCTGTAGTTGACATAAACAAAATGTACAAAAGTGAAAAATCCTTCAATGTAAGCACTCTACGACCAACTGAGAATTATTGCATAAAGTCATTAATTTTTTGTCTATACATTTATTTGGCCCAAAATACACATAATTTATAAAATTAAGCAAACTTATCCACTGTCGGAAGAAAGAAAGAATCAAAAACCCAACGATAGTAAAAGTCCTCGTAGCTCGGATTTATCCAGCTGGCCGTCCTTTTGGTGGTCGTATTCGGCGATGAACTGCTCGAAGTCTTCCCTGGTTAAACCCTCCAATTTTAGGAACTGGAAAAGGTTATCTGCGGAAATCTTGTTTGTTCCATCGAGATCTAGCTGCTGGAAGAATGCGTCAACCTCCTGTTTACTAAAACAAGCAAAAGGTTAGATGAAAGGAAGCAAAAACCAGGCATTCTACCTCGGCATTTAGAGGATTTTGAAGAGCGAGAGAGAGAGAG